CAGGGGCATAATCGGAAAAGACAGGAGCAGCCAGGGAGAGCATGCTGTGTTTGCCTGGAGCTCAGAGATCGCTGGACCCCTGGGGACTACTTATGTGCAGCTCTAACATTCTGTTTGGACATCTGGCCTTGTGTAACACTCGGCGCCCACCTAAGAGGCATGGGAAAGTTCCCAGAGTGTCCGTGCTCTGTTGGAAGTCCAAAACCAACCAACAAGAAACTGTTGCCACCGAATCTATTCCAATTCATGTTGTTGTTGTTGTTGTTGTTGTTGTTAGGTGCCTTCAAGTTGGCCCCAACTCATAGCAACCCCATGCGTAGCACAACGAAACACCACCAGCTTCCTGCACCATCCTCACAATTGTTCTTACGCTTGACCTCACTGGAGCAGCCACTGTGTCAATCCACCTCCTGAGGCTCTTCCTCTTTATCACAGCCCTGCCACCTTAGCAAGCACTTTTCCCAGGGACTGCCTTCCCCGGTAATATGTCCAAGGTCCATGAGACAAAGCCTCACCATCCTCACTTTTAAGGGGCATAACAACTCATAGTGACCCTCTATAGGGTCTCAAAGGCTGTAAATCAAAGCCGACAGCTTCATCATTTCTCTTGGACTCACTGGTGGGTTTGAACCACCAACCTTCTGTTTAGCAACCCAATGCCTAAACCACAGGACCTCCAGGGCTGTTAAATACATCGGTAGGTGTTCTCCAAAATCCACAATGACTAGAATTCCTAGATCAAATTATAATCTCAACTAATAATAGCATCCACCAAATGTTTACGATGAGCTGTATACAGTGGTTTCAGCATTCCATTATGCCTTAGGTGAAAGTTTACAGAGCAAATCCGTTTTCCATTCAATTCATATACACTAATGGTTCTGTGGTCTTGGCTGTGTCACCATCCTCCCCTCATTTTGAGCAAATGCTGTCCTTCGGGTCCTGTATAGTTGATGGTTCTAACTGCCTCTCTTTTCCACCCTCCCCCTGCCACCCCCCTGCACACTCACACACGCATGCACACGGGAGCGCGGTGTTATTCATTGAGGCCATCTCTGTATTTTCTAGCTCCTGGCCTAAAATGCATGACACATCATAAACCCACA